AGTCAATTTGAAAAAGGTTTATGTGGACAAAACAATTACAGATGTCAGGGATACATCACCAGAGAGCATTACAATTTTAGGTCCAAAAATAGAATGATAAAAATTAAACATAAACATGGATAAATCGTTCACAATAGGATTTACAAAATCCTACAAAATAGATGCACAGGTGCCAAATAATTTTAAGGCACCAAAATAGGCACCACATATTTTTTAAGTGCCAAATAAGAATGAACTTGAATGAACATTTTACATTTTTTTTTATATTTTGCAACCTATAAACTCTTAGCTCCTTCCATTCTTTTTTTCATGGACTAGACACTGCACATGCCAACAGTGTTTTTTGTGGAGCACTTTTTGCGATTACATGGTCACAAGTATTTTTATGCTTTTGACTATTGTCGTGTTTTCTCAGAGTTTCTCTCTTGAAATTATTCTTATTTCTCAGCCTGCTTTGGAACAAAAGTCACAAAAACAGTTTCTGTGTGTGACAATCATCCTCAAGTCATGCAAGCTCTTTGAATTTGAAGTTGCCTTTCTGCACTTTTACTTGGGTGTTCATTGATCGACATGAAAAGATGATCTCAGCAGGCGTGTGCCATCAGCGTTGATACTAGACAGAGATGAGGACTGGCATGTTTTTCTGATGCGGAAAGCTATGCTTTGCTTTCTTTGTACGTATTTTGGTGCAAACCGAAAACTCGTGTGTGCTGTATCTCATTTAATTACATCAACACAATGAATGATGTGACAGGCTACTCCTCACATAACAAATTTCTACATAATAAAGTGTAAATTTATGTTGTCGCCTGTGACAATCTCAGCAAAAAATATTACTTGCAAATTAAAATATTTGATCGCAAGTCAGACCATTTTAGGCCCAGTCTGGAGCCCTGCTACAGATACAAAAACCTTTATTAAAGCAAATAAAAAATGCTTTTTTTTATTTATTTATTATTTTGTTTTTAAATTATTGAAAATGGTGCATATAGAGCCTAAAGCTTTGGAATGATTTTGATCACATGTAGAGGAAGTTGAGTGTTTTGTGTTTTGCCCTGCTGGAGGAGCTACGAGGTGAAAGTGCTACAAGGCAATGTCACGGTGGTCTGTCGAATCCTGGTCCTTGGCTCATATATTGCTGATATATGAGCATCGTTTTCACACATGTGCATGTGCAAGTCTTGGGAGAGCAAACAATGGAAAAGCACTGACTTTGAGAGGTCCTTCATGCACTACTACAGCACAGTCATGGTAATAAGATACCAGTCGTAGGAGGAAACAACAGGGGAACTGGCATCTTTCTAATGCAGTTCAGTTATACTGTAAGCTGGAATACCACTAAACAGATATGTGCATGTGAAAATTATACATAAAATCTATATGTCATACAACATGCTAAACATTTTTGTGCACAGTTCTACAGGGTCATCTGAGAGGATCTGAGTTCAGGAATATGCTAGATTAAATTCAACTGAAGCTCTATTGACAGCATCTGTGGTGGACGTTTGATCGCCACAGTCATTAACTTCGACTGGTCACTCTGCTCAACAAAAATGCAGTAAATTAGCCCCGGAGGGGCAGTGATGATTTGTGTAAAAAAAAAAGAGAGATAATTTTCACACAGTAAACATTGAAATAAAATTTTAGGCTAGTCTGTCAGTTGTAATAGAAAAAAAGAAACACTGTGTGTCTGTGTCTATGTGTGTCTAAGTGGGTTTCATCCCATGCGTTCATCACTAAACAAACCAATCAGGTGTCAGTCAGGATTGAAGCAGACAGTCAAGTAGATAGCTGAGATCAATGGCTGATGGTTTATGGAGCGGTAATCCCATCTGATTAAGAATATTGACTGCCTAAAAAGTTTTAGGACTGCGCTATACTAAATGGAAAGCAATTTGACCCACAGCCAATCAACTGTATGGTGAAGCAGACAGCTATTGGGCAGCATCTATTATCTAACACAAGGAAAGCCACACAATAGTCGTTCACAGCCAGATAAAAAAAAAAAAAGCTTTTTACAAGACTTTTAAGGACAGGCTAATCTGAAATCAATGATTTCACAATAATATACCAGCATGCAAATGGTGTTAAAATGGTACTGTAGCTCTGTCTGCAAAAGGTTGTAGAGAAAACACAGAGAGGTTGAAACTAGCTACACACCACCAGATACTAACAAGATGGACTATTTCCACAACCATGAAATCCTATACAGCGCTCCAGTCTCCAGTCAATTTTGAATCACTGAATATATAAAAACCTTCAAATTAAATGTATTTATTTATTTTTTAAATGTTTAAAACATTTAAAAAAAAATTTAAATGTATTTTTTAACAGAGATTTTACTCACAAAACCTCTTTCATTAGACTCTTCATTAAAGGGGTCATGTGATGTTGCTAAAAATAACATTATTTTGTGTATTTGGTGTAATGAAATGTGTTTATGCGATTTAAAGTAAAAAAAAACACATTATTTTCCACATACTGTACATTATTGTTTTTCCTCTATGCCCCGCCTTTCTGAAATCTGTCGATTTTTACAAAGCTCATCGATCTGAAAAGCGAGGTGTGCTCTGATTGGCCAGCTATCCAGTGAGTTGTGATTGGCCGAATACCGAATAACGTGTGACGGAAATGTTACACCCCTTACCATACTGGCCAGAGCGACGAGTCAAAAACATTAAAACCCATTATAAACTAGGCATTTGTTGCATCCAGTGGGGACATAATAATGGATTATAATGACTTATACTGTCTTAGTGAGAGGAGGCCGGGGGCTAGAGTGAGCAGAGGTGGCGGGCTTGAGAACGGCACGGCCGGCGGATTCGACAAAGGAGTGGCCGGCAGGCTTGCGGCAACCACATGTGACGACCCCGGGCTGGACTCAGCTTCGTCCACGGTGAAAGCCGATCCGGCGATCCACAGCACGAAGTTGATGTATTTCCTCAGCGACCAGCACGGATCAGCTCTAGGCATGACGAAGCGGATATTGTCCTCTTTTGGAAGACCAAACAAAGTAGTTTCGCTTTCACAACGAAACACACACACACGTCTTCACGACATGGCGGCAGCAACAAAACAGCGAGAATAAAAGTTACGCCTTCTTTCTTGGCATGAGCATTTGGGGGGTGTTATGCAAATCTTCCCACATCGTGACGTAGATATGTGGGGGCGTGTTAGAACGAGCTGTTTTAGGTAGGCGTGGTTGACTCTTAACTTTTATAAAGAATATCTCTTTGGATTTGAGACTTTAGTCTTTGCAACTTTACAGATCTTCTTTATGCACCAAGAGCTTGTAACACTTCAAAGAGAAAGGAAAAATTTAAATCGCATCATATGACCCCATTTAATTGAAGGGCATGCAAGTAATTTACAGGCTTCAACATCCATGTCAGTGTTTTCATTAGGCTGGACTGAGCACTTATTTGCAAGTTGGACAATAAAAATGCTACCCGGAAACAAGATTTATCCTATGGCAGTACATTATGCATCAGCACACAACTTGTACTGTTCCACATTAAAACTCGCTGGGTTGGAAACAGTCAGTGGATCTATTAAGAAGTCCAGGCACTTCTGCACATAAAGGTGTTTTGGATTTTTCATTCAAAGGCCACAACTATTAGAAAAATAAAATGAGTTTGATTTGTTTTATTTTAAGAATTGGATTTGAATTTACTGCATTTTTTTAGTATTTCTTTACAATGGCTGTACTTCACAGACTGGTTTTCTTAAATTTTTTCCTCTGGTCATGCTTTTTTTTTTTTACATAATTCAACCTGTTTCTGCTGTATGTCTTCATACTACTGTAAATGGTTAATTACAATACACCTACAGCCTGTTCGTACCCTAAGACAGTCTTTTGTTTTAAGTGTGCAGTCACTTTTAGACATAATTAATCAAGATAAATTTTCTAAGGCTGCTATTGTACTGAATATCGTTGTGGTTGCAGACATACAACAGTTCAATAAACTTCAAATTAACATCGAGAAACTTCTCAAAATGAATCTTGAAAAACAAATTTGAGGATCAGAATGAATTATGAAAAAAATGATCAGAGATTAACTACAGACATACAGACAGAGCACTTAAACCCAAAGCACTTACAAAGTCCCAAGTCGGTTTATTTGGCAGCCATATCTGCAACACCTTTGGGCAGCTACTTTGGGCATGCTCCTATCGACTTAAAGGTCACATATTTTACACCTTTCTGGAGTTTTATTTTAAGTCTTGATGTCCTTAAGAATATATATTTGTGGTATACGTAAGTACCATCTCAATATGTTTTTACAGCTCCTCTCTCAGGAGCTCTGCAAAGAACAGGTCGATTTTGCTCGGGGTGGTGACTGAGTAATTCTGACATCACCTTTTTACGGAATTTACAACGGTTCGTGAAAAATCACAGCTACTTTATGCAGGCTGTGTGCATTTGACTGTGGATTGACTGCTTTGAAACTTATATGGTAGTTACATAGCACCTAGACCTCAGTTATCATGAAAAAAGCCAGGAGATTTCAGTTTTGACAATATGGGACCTTTAAATAGGTAAATACTGAAATCTCAAAACTACTTGCCAAACTCGCATTCAAAGTCCTGAAATGCAGTTTTAGATTTTTATAGTATGTTTCTCCAGGTCAGTTTATAAAGTTTTTTGCACCAAAAAAGGTCCAATATATGTAAAAATGATTATTTTCCATCCTCATTTTCACTCTCTGTGAAGAACTGAGATGCGAACGGGGCATTACCACTTGCATTAACTTACGTAAACACCCACTGCTGTGATTAGTTAACGTCAACGCACTGTATCCACAGCGTCCTTTACAGCATGTCATGTGTTTTGATACTCAAGATGGCAAGCACTGAGATAAAGATGTATATGTTCGAGCCAGAGTCAGTTTCCGAGGCATAAGAAATGGAAACAATGTAACCACAATGATTACAACAGTCTGTGGTAACTGCTTTTGTTTTTAATTTTCGGTATAGAGTTTTAAAATTTCAGCACTCACCAGCACTCGATCTCCGACCTTAAGGTCCTTTTCTCCCCCTTTCTTCACAGATCCACTGTCAGACATATTGGATCCTGACTCATTGCCGGTTTTGACGGAGCTGTTGAGCATGCCTTCTCTGAGCGGCATGACCACACAATCAATGATACATAACAGTAACATGAGGGACATCGAAAAACATCCATTTTAAGAATTTACAGCATTCTCTGTATTTCACAGCGTTTGTTGTCAACACTTGCTATACAGCTCATTTGATGCATGGCATCAGAGGACTTTCATCATTTCGCTCATGTCTGGATGTCACTGCAGCCTTCATGCAAGGCTGAGCAGCACTCTAATTTATGAACGAATCTGGGTCAGTGGGATTTGCAGTATGAACCTGGGTGCTTTACACATGTGGCGCTTTTGACACATGCCACTTACCCAATACCGCTTGAAGGATATGGCGATGATGTGTGAGCCACGGCTCATTTAGCGTGTGTTCAGTCATTCTTTCATACCTCAGTGTATGTGTGGGGGGTTACATGATGACTGCTTTTTGTTTCTCAATTGCTCCAACATGTTCTTGGACTGATAAACATAGTAGTTAAAAGATCTCTGTTAGGAAGAAAATTCTGGGCTCCTTATCAGTCAAAAAATATCCTGATTTGACTCGCTGTTGTTTAGAAATGGCACAAAACAATGCTGGGCCGGTGTGCTTCCTAAGCTGACAGACTGTCTAGGTAGATAATTTTGGACGCTATTCAAATTATTGAGGTCAGTAGTCTACCACACAGAAGCAGACGTGTCAGCAGTGATGGAAATATGCAAACAAATCCCCTTTTTGGCAGAAAATAGAGAAGAATACAATAACTAATATGGTCAATTGCTGCTTGCTTAACATTCAAGAACTTGCAGGTCAAGCAAGCATCAATGTTTAAAGGTCACATATTTTACACCTTTCTGGAGTTTTATTTTAGGTTTTGATGTCCTTAAGAATATATATTTGCGGTATAAGTACCAAAAACCATCTCAATACATTTTTACAGCTCCTCTCTCAGGAGCTCTGCTGAGAACATGTCGGTTTTGGCCTGTCTAATTAATATTAATGAGCCTCTCTTCTGATTGGCCTGTTGTTTTCTGAGCAACGCACGGCCAGGCCAACCACAGGTAACTAGGGTCAGCCGATGTCACAGCGCTAGCTGGAGGCAGCAGCCGCAGCAAAACAAAGGGTAAACTGGCCCATTCAAACCAGCGTAGATTCGGCTACATAAGGAGCTTAAAATATCATCTTGTCGTGATGTTGGGTGCCAGAATAAACGTAATACAGCCTCAAATTAGAAATTTGATCGCATATCTGCTGCCACTTCCAGACAAAAAACCGACGACAGCTGTGGTTCAACGTGATAAAACGAACGGACTGGACAGAAATGATCGTCAAAAATGCTGATTGAATCTGCTTTAAAATTGAAAAATGCTTTATTGAATCTTATCAGAAAAGATTCAATAAAGTATTGTCTTTTGTTGTTATGGATGCATCAACAGATTTCTTGCCATATGTCTATGTTTCTTGCATCTCACGACTATGTCGTGTATGAAATAATGTCTTGTGTGCATGTGTGTAAAACAACAAACTGACGATTTATATATAATAATTTGTAATTGTATATACATTGTTGTGATTAATTGTGGCTGGAACAATAATGTAGCTGTAAAAATTTAAATTGAAATGTATATACATCTTCATCATGACTAGATAGACGTGGTGAGTTTGTCTTTACACGTTAGATGTGATCCACCTCATAGTAACAATCCTGTCAGATCGTCCATCCTTTGAGTGAAAGTGTAACGTTACAGGTCGGCCGATCTGGTTTCGTGATTAAAGTTAACCTTTTCGACATGTTTCCGTGTTGTTGTTGCTCAGCAATGGCATGGACGCGATGTTGTCTGGGGGTTTGGCAAAAGGAGAGTGGGACGGTGGGCGGTGCTCAGTATGCGTTATTGACTGTTGGCTCTTTGTGGACTGTGGGTATCGCGGAGGAAGAACGTGATACCGTGTCTGTGCCTGAAATGGTGGCCGCACTAGAGCACGCTCACAAGAGGGCGGACACAACAGCGCCCCGTCAAGTCACAGTTGATCATCATGAGTCAAGTCAAGTTACAGTTCATTATCATGAGTCAAGTCAAGTCACCGCTGATCTTCACGAGTCGAGTCGAGTCACCGTTGATCTTCCTGAGTCAAGTCAAGTCACCATTGATCCTCCTGAGTCAAGTCAACTCACAGCAGATCTTTGTGAGGCAAGTCAAGTCACACCTGTTCTTCATGAGCCCAGTCAAGTCACAGCTGATCTTCCTGAGTTGAGTCTAGTCACAGTTGATCTTCCTGAGTCGAGTCTAGTAACAGTTGATCATCACGAATCAAATTAAATCCCAGTTTATTATCATGAGTCTAGTCAAGTCACAACTGATCGCCCTGAGTCAAGTCTAGTCACAGTTGATCTTCCTGAGTCGAGTCTAGTAACAGTTGATCATCACGAATCAAATCAAATCACAGTTTATTATCATGAGTCTAGTCAAGTCACAACTGATCGTCATGGGTCAGGTCTAGTCACATTTGATCGTCATGAGTCAAGTCTAGTCACAGTTGATCGTCATGAGTCATATCGAGTCACAGTTTATTATCATGCGTCTGGTCAAGTCACAACTGATCGTCATGAGACAAGTCTAGTCACAGTTGTTCTACCTGAGTTCAGTCAAGTCACAACTGATCTTCATGAGTCAAGTCTAGTCACAGCTGATCTTCATGAGACAAGTCAGGTCACAGTTAATCGTCATGAGTCCAGTCAAGTCTCATCTGATCTGCCAGAGCCTCATCACATATCAGATGTTTGTCCAGAGTCACGTCACGCCTCAGTTATTCATCTAGAGTCATGTCACATCACAGCTGATCATCCAGAATCACGTCGCATCACAGCCGATCATCCAGAATCATGTCACGCCCTGTCTGTTACACCCAGATTCTCAAGGTCAGCCTTTCAGTATCCCAGTCTGATATCCAGTGTGAGGGACGCACCGCTGGTGTCTGCACGCACAGCTGGTATCCCCAAACCCACTCACTCTAACCCTTCCGTTCATGAACTCATTCCCCTGTCTGCAGCACTTCCCATATGGGGGGTTGCTTTATGGTGTATCTGGGCCGCGTACACCCCCGCCGATTTGCTAGAGGCAGCGGCACCGGCTACAACATCTCCAGAGGTGGCGGCTTATGCTGCAGAACCTCCCGAGGTAGCGGTGTCCGCTGCTGTGCTCCCAGAGGCCATGGTATCCGCTGCAGTCTCTTCAGAGGTGGCGGCACATGCTGCAGAACCTCCTGAAACGGGGGGGGCTCTGTTACGTATCCGGTCCATGAACTACCGTCTGCTAGCCATCAGAGGTCACCCTTTCCATTTTCATTGACTCTCACACTACACACTGTTGCACATCACCCCGGACTACATATCCCATCATTCATTGCACTGATTGCACACAGCCCTGATTGCACACAGCTGTTTCACATCACTCATTCACAATTTAACACCCAATCTCACTCCGTTCTGGGCAGAGTATTGTATGTGCTTATCGCCCCCAGTGATAGCTACTCAACAGAGCCCTCTTTAGCTTCCTAGCCCAGCCTAGTCTTGCCTTGTCTGTTTTCTCTGTCTTTGATCTGTGCCTGTTTTCCTGGAGTTATCCCTTTAGTCTCGCCCTTGTGATCCTGTTCGCCAATCGTTGACCTACACTAGCCCTAGGACTATTCTTGTGTCTTGCCCGCCATATATCTGTTTGCCACCGTTCGACCCTGTCTGTGTTTCTGACCTCCTCTCCGCTTTAATAAAGCTTGCATATGGATCCGCACGTCTCACGTCTTATCAGCCCCGTTACAAATAGCCCCTAGACCTCAGTTATTGTGAAAAAAGCCAGGAAATTTCAGTTTTGACAATATGGGACCTTTAAGCTTCCATTTACCTTATTTAATGTGCTCATGCATTCATTAATGTTTATATGTCAATTACGGCTCCACGATTAATCGAAATAAAACCAAAATCATGATATCGATTAATGCGATTATTGAACCGCAAAATCTGCGATTTTTAAAGGGGTCATATGATGCGATTTCAAGTTTTCCTTTCTCTTTGGAGTGTTACAAGCTGATTGTGCATAGATAAGATCCCTGAAGTTGCAAAGACTAAAGTCTCAAAACCAAAGAGATATTCTTTATCAAAGTTAAGACTCTGCCACGCCCCCCTAAAATGGCTCGTTCTAACACGCCCCCACCTATCTACCTCACTATGTGGAAATATTAGCATAATGCGGCCCAAATGTGCACGCAAAGAAAGAAGGCGTGGTTTCAGTAACCGCAGTTAGTGTTGAAGCAGCCATGTCAGGGAGAAGCTGTGTGTTTCTAGGCGAAAGCAAAAGCACTTTATTTGGCCTTCCGAAAGTAGATGCATTTAGGAATCTTTAAGATCACTTACAACAGAACAGCAATGCATTTTATGGATGACCGTTTCGTGAACCTAGGAGAGGAGGTAATTCTGACTTTGCTATGACAATCCGGCGCTTCTGAATCAGCTACTGTTTCGTTATTAGTTTAAGTATTTGCTATTGACTGTTCAAATGCGGAGTTTTGCGCATCGTGTGTGTGTGTGTGTGTGTGTGTGTG